GAAAAAAATAATCAGCTTATACACTTTGGTATACACACACACACTCACACACACACACACACACACACACACACACACACACACACACACGTACGTACGCACACACACACACGTACGTACGCACACACTCACGCACACTCACACTCACACATACACACACACACACACACACATATATATATATATATATATATATATATATATATATAAATATATATATATATATATATATATATATATATATATATATATATATATATATATATATATATCTTAACTTATTATAATGCAAGTAAGTCCGTTTGTGGGGTCAGTAAAAACCTTTTACACAGGATAAGTGCCCATAAAATCTACAAAAATATGATTCAGACAAGAATTGTCCCAAAGGGTTACGAGGGCATAATTTCAAAGTTCGGAAACTACCTTTTGATTTTTCAGGTTTGATGGTGTTTCCTGTAAATCGAAGCTCTCAGATGTTTTCGCTCTGCCCTTAGCCATTTCACATATTTTGACTCCGTTCCCCATAGGCGACTTATACAGACGCTCTCAGCATGTGGTGTTAAAGGGAAGGTACTCAAGTGGGTTAAGGACTTTTTGGTCAGCAGAAAACAACGGGTTGTTATAAATGGATCACGGTCAGAGGAAGCTGAAGTTACAAGTGGAATCCCGCAAGGATCTGTTCTAGGCCCCCTTTTGTTTGTAATTTACATCAACGATCTTCCGAGAGGACTTAAAACGACGGCCAAAATGTTCGCTGATGACGCAATGCTCTACGTTAGAAGTGACACCGTGATTGGGCGCAAGATTTACAGGATGATTTGGATGCCCTCCAAGTATGGTGTCAACGATGGTCACTTCGTTTTCACACACAAAAGTGTTGTGTCCTCAAAGTTGGCAAAGACAAAGATAACGAATACTTTATGGATCAAGCAATGGATGGTAGCACCTCAAGACACAAACTGAATGTAACAAAGAGAGAGAAAGACTTAGGAGTTGTGGTCGATAATAAACTAACCTTCAAAGAGCACGTATCCCAGATAGAGTCAAAAACGAACCGTATTGTTGGACTTATTAGGCGATCATTTGACTACCTTTCTGAGGATATGTTTGTTTTGCGCTACAAGAGCTTAGTGAGGCCTTTATTAGAGTATGCACACTGTGTTTGGCAACCCTTTGAAAAAGGATTATGTAGTGAAATCAAACAAGTTCAAAGGCGGGCTACCTAAATGCTGAGTCACCTCAAAGAAAAGCCTTATTCTGAAAGACTGAAAAAACTAAAGTGTCTAAAGCTTCGATCCCTGGAACATCGTAGGTTACGTGGTGAATATGATAGAAACGTACAAGTATATAAGGCTACTACATCACCGAAAGACCAGCGTTTACAAAGGCAGCAACCACACAACTCCGTGGCAACTCAGAGAAGCTCAAGAAGCAAAGAAGCAGATTGTGTGTGAGGGCAAACTTTTTTGAGAATAGGGTTAATAAAATTTGGAAAAATCTCCCCGAATCAGTGGTGTCAGCGCCAAACGTGGACACATTTAAGAGACGTCAGGGCGAATACTGGAAATATCTCCCAACTATTTACAACCCCACTTGCCAAAACTGATTGTCTAGCCTGCACGCAATGCATTATAGTCATTCATTTCCAGATAGTTGAACAGGCTCTACTTAGAGCCTCAAACAACTAAATCGTCAATGTCAATGTTAATTTTGTTGGGGACTACTTCCGTTTCATATTGTGCTATTTCGTGCTTGTGAGTAGTTCGCAAGCACAGAAGTGCAGATAATAGATCTAATAATCTTATTTTATCTATATAAAAGTTCGCTTGAAAGGTTTGTTCACAAACTCCTCCCTTATTACCCAACCCACACCTTTGAAACTGTGCAGGTGTCCACAACATCCTTGTGGCTAGGACCTAACTTTAAAAAATCCACGCAAACTGCTTTCCCCGATTTTTCCAAAAAGCTTTGTTTCGTCCACACAGAGTTCTAATCCGACAACCACCGGAACAATCAGTATGGATACCTTGCGGGCTTTGATGCTGGGGGGAACTGAGCACTTATGGACATGTCCGGTGTGCAACGACGTTGTTAGCCAAGGACAGGTAATAATAGGTAGACTTCTAATCTTCAGAAAGTCCGTCTTCTAAGACATCATTGTAAACAAGTGAGGTTACCGTTCACTAACCGTGTGCATTGATTCCACACCTTCGAAATTCTGGAGTATACAACCAAGAAAGCGGAATAGAGAATCAATCTATACATCTATTATATAATTTGGCAACTTGGAAACACGCGTGTCACTTTTCTCTCAAGATTTATTGCTTCATTCAGTAGAGTGTAGGCCAATGACTTTCAGTTGATGTTAATGCACCGATCCATACGTTTTACATATATAATAAACTTATTACATGTATGACCCTCTCATCCTTTACAGACAGAGTTGAAGTCCGCCTCCTTCATTATGTAAGAGAGAGAGAGAGAGAGAGACAGAGAGAGAGAGGGGGGGGGAGAGAGAGAGAGAGAGAGAGAGAGAGAGAGAGAGAGAGAGAGAGAGAGAGAGAGCGAAAAAATGACTTGAATGGTGATCATGTTCACCGACTTTGAAAATAACTCCGAAATTCCCGATGTTTTTCACTCGCAAACTCAAAACAAATAGCGTGTCATCCACTATTGAACGCAGTTGTCCGATAAAGATATTGTTGACATTCCGCGCTGAACTTCAACACTTTTGATTCGCAAACTTCCTAGACATTGTTATTTTCACTGGTAAGAACTGTATCAAAACAACATATTCCCTTCTTAAATTAAATGTTGATCTATCCAGCTTAAGATTATTACTGTTTATATTGCTGCTCATTTATATTATCAATGTTATTGTAAGCCTTTGTGTGTGTGCGCGTGTGTGTGTGGGGGGAGGGGGGGGGGTACACGTGGTGAAACACCGAGCCAATGTACCAGGATCTGGACTATACAAATGTATCTTCTCTTATCTTATGGTGGATAGTGTTGCAAATGTCGACATTTGAAGCTTTGCTATGCCCTGAGACAATGCAGGCCATTCTATTCTAAAGGATGTGGATTCCATAATCGTCAATGTCTATTCTAGACCTGGAGAAGAAGAACAAGAGGAAGAGGAGGAAGAAGAAGAAGTCATGACATTTGATCCTTCGTTAAGACACAGGACCAAAGGAAAATATATGTATTCGAACGAGGACGAAAAGAATTACATTATATTTGTATTTACTTTGGATCCCACTCGAACTCGAACCTCGTGAAAAAAAACCCCGCACCAAACAAATCAAATAAATGTAGGTGTTTTATGCCCCCATCGACACAACATTAAGATCATTCAGGAAGTGGGCTTCGACCCTGCCTGTCAGTGCCAATCCAGGCTGGGCTTCGACCCTGCCTGTCAGTGCCAATCCAGGCTGGGCTTCGACCCTGCCTGTCAGTGCCAATCCAGGCTCTGAGGAAGACAGCGTCCCAAAAGAAAGACCTTGATGATAAAAATTATTCCCCCACGCGAGAATCGGACTCACATCTTCTGCGTGGGGCGGCAAAGTGCCTTACCGCTAGGACCACACCACAGGCGCTGGTATTTGAAGACCGTACATGCATAGATAGGTATTGCATAAAATCGACTTCGTAGAGGCCAAAACTACAGTGTGCGTAGTTGGGGGGGGGGGGGCACCATTGGTAGGTGCTACTTCTTTACATGCACTTTCCCTCTGTTGTCTCTGTCTCTCTGTCTTATTTTTCACAGCACAAGGTTCGTTAGTGACCGATTTCACGGGTGTCTCTCTAAATTTATAAGGCGTATGTCTAAAGTTGACGCTGCGATGAAGTTCCCAGTCAATTATGGATGAGAAAGAGTGATAGTTTGACTAAGTAGACGCTTCGCCACTGGCTGGTGCTCGAACAACTTCTGCAGTTTTGTGGTTCATTTTTTTGGGTGGTTGGCTGGTGCTCTGCTGTATTTTACTCCTTCCCTATCAAACATCAATCTGTCGTCCATATCTCTCCCCCTTATTTACTTAGTTTGTTACTCTCTAGAAACACTTCTAATCTTCGGCACTTAAAGGAACTAATTGTGCTGCAAGTGTTACAAAACTTTTACCAAAGCACTGAGAAAAACAAACACAAAAAGGAGAAGATATCAGGATGATAAATGTTTTAGGACAGAAAGACCAAACCACACAAGAGCAGCCCCCCCTCCACCCCGCCCCCCAAACCACCCACTTTCCTTATCAGACATGGTACTGAAGACCAAATGAAAAAAAAAAAGATGAAGTAGACCACATGCCGGTACATGTATTGGGATAAAAGGATCCCGAAGAAATGTTCATGTAACAACGTCAGTGAGCGCTCATACAGCTTCTACAGTTTTTCGTCCATTCCGCCCACAGATGGACGAGTCCCTGAAGGAAGTGCTGAGCAAACACTGGCAGGTGCTGGTACGTTACATCAACCCTACAGAGTCCGTCATCAACACTCTGGTAGAGGACAAAGTTCTGCCGTCCTCCATGATTGATGATGTCAAGGTCTGTCTGTCTGTCAGTCTGTTTGTCTGTCTGTCTGTCTATCTATCTGTCTATCTATCTGTATGTCTGTCTGTCTGCCTGTCTGTCTGTCTGTCTGTTTGTTGTCTGTCTGTCTTTCTGTCTGGCTGGCTGTCTGGCTGGCTGTCCGTCTACATGGTTGATAAAGGTTCGTCTTTAACTATTCCTTTACTCTAATTCTCTCATAAAAGTTATGTCGCCCTGATAATATTATTTCTCAGTCACCGATCTGTGATTGCACTATATGACTCAATACGACTGTAATTGTGTTGATGGTCTTCTTATTTCTTTACATTTATCCGCCTCCCCTCTGTCTGTCTTCTCCTCTGTAATTTAACTTTGATGTCAAGACAATAATATCAATGCAAACCCATTTTACAAGTTGATAATTTTGGTGGCCCTAAAAAGGACCGTGAAAGAAAAGACAAGCAATAATTCTCAGCGCGAGAACCGGCTGCTATTGCTGTGGTTGCGACTGCCGCTGGACTCCCGTCGTCTTCGATGCTTTCCGCTCCCGGCCTCTCGGGATCGATTCATATGGAGCCGGTGAGACCGAGATTGGAGCATAATCTCGCGACGAGATTCGGATCGCGGCCATTTTTGGTGTCCTTGGTGATGGCGGTCGTCAAGGGACGCTACACTTGAAGGAGAGGAAGAGACCCGGTGGCGATGTTGGTGCTGCCCCCTGGATCGACTCCGGTGTCGAGTCGGCTCTTGTTCCTTCGACGCGTCCTGGCCGCCACTTTTTTGGCTACGATGAAAAGGAAGATCCGGCTTGTGGAACTGGCAGCCGCTGCCGCTCCGATTTCGGTTATCCGGTTGAAACCGAACCTTTTTGATCCGGCGCGTCCGGATGCCTCTTCGGATGGCGCTGCGGAGAACGCTATCCGTGGCGTTGAGCGGAAGTTCTTTTCTCTTAACCAGTTCCTGCTTGATCTCCTTCAAACTGAGGCCACGGGAGTCGTGCTTTTTTATGAGAACGTTCACAACGCTGTTCACTGACAGTTGCAGACCGTTCATACTGTGCTTGCTCATCCTCTTCTGGGGGGCTTTTTTGCAGCCCTGTTTTGGTAAAGATGTTCCGGAGCACAACCACGTTTTCCTTGATTGGAAGGAAACCAGAGTGAAAGTTATGTAGGTGGGTTGAGGCAGAAGCGCGGACCTCCGTGAAAAAGCGCAACTGCGCTTTGCAAGAGATCTTTAACTTGTTTTGTTTTATTTTGGAGGTTGTCCGTTGTTGGGGTTTTTTTTGACGCCCCTATCGACACACGTAGATTTTTAAAGAGCTTGGCTGCCAATCTTCTTACAATTATCGTTAAAGGCCGCACTGAAAAAATCAGTGTGTGTCGAACTGGATTGCGTGGAAAATCCACGACAGGACTTTTCTGAATATGGGTTTTCTATGGCTCTTCTCCTTCTTGACTTGATATAACGGAGATGACAGTGAAATCTAAAGTTTAGCCTTTTAAACGATACCTGTACTATCACAGACTTTACTGGGGCAATACTCTCAGTTTTCTATCCCTATCCCAATATTCGTGGTGATTTGCTAAGAAATCAAGTTTTGTTTAACCTTTGAATTGTAGCCTTGGCTTTGTCTTAAAACAGCAAAGACGACCTTAGAAAAACTCATGAGTAGCACGAGATTTGAAAAAAACCCACTAATTGTTCTTGAAACCTGAAATGAATACTTTTACTGAGGACATGTTTTGTCTTGAAATATATTTTAATTTTTTTAAAGGATTGCAGAATGAAGGAATGAGATAACCATAGGTGAAGGCAACATATTTCTGGAATATCCTAAATAATATTAAATTGACGGTACTTCTGGAAAATGGACTCAGCACTATCAATTCACCATAAAGCACACCACAGCCGACGCAGTCACAATAGTAGTAGTAGTAGTAGTAGTAGTAGTAGTAGTAGTAGTAGTAGTAGTAGTAGTAGTAGTAGTAGTAGTAGTAGTAGTAGTAGTAGTAGTACTAGTAGTA